AATATGTAAAAAATGAATTAGTTATGAACACTAAAGGTTGGGGATCGAAGGTGCAATTTTCTTGGAATAATAACGAGACAATCTTTCGGCTTTCTTGATGGAGGGAAACTACTTCTGCTACTCCGGTGATAGGTAAAATACCTGCAAGAAGATGTTGGGGCAATCTCCCCTGTTGTACCTCCAGAGAATTAGTCACTGAATTTAGGCGAATGATGAATGACTTAAAAAATGAGAGAAGCCAGAAAAGTGTGTGAAAGAAAAGAAAAAAATCCCCCATATCAGGCATGCCTTTGAAGTTTGAAGTATTTATAGGTACTCAGTACCATAAATCGTTTGGTGGTTTTTATCCATTGTCTAGTGGTTAACGTCCACTCACCAGGTGATTTTCACCCATGAACTTAGCGGTCAACTTTCACCCACTAAACGGTTAAAAGGATCAGTGAAAATGGTAAGGCGATTTTTAATTTATGAAAAGGGTGTATGGGCAGTTGGTAGTCATGGTGGTCAGTCGAGCTTCCTAGTGGTCGGTCGATCGATTGTGATAGTCAATCACTCATCATGGTAGTCGGTCAATCATCGTGATAGTCGATCAATCATCGGACAATCAGTACCATTGTGACAATCGATCGACCATCTTGGTAATCAACATGTCGTCTCCATTTGCTCGACCATCGTGTCCACCACTTATGCCCCTAACATCATCGTGGTAGTCAGTTGACCATCGTGGTAATCGATAGGTTGTCTCTACTTGCTAGCCATCATGTTCACCACTTATATCACGTTGCATCACTAGCCCTTTACCTTTTGTTGATAGTTGTCGTTAAGAGGTAGCATCTCCATCCTCCATTCTCATTTTTTTGGTGAAATTTCTTTCATTTTTAGCATAGTCACATTCCATCTCTATGTATAAAGCATTATTGTCCTCTTCCTCTAGCCAAGAAATCTTAAATTCATCTCCTTGCACACCAAATGGGGTGTGAGAGTGAGAGTGAAAATGAGAGGAGGGGATTCGACGGGTCCATCTTTCGATGGGTTGGTCAATAGTCCACGGCTTAGTAGATCGACCAGCTAACACGCTGGTCCATCGACTAGCCATCCACCTGAGGTCGATATGATAATGCGACATATTTCAACGATTTCCATAATTTTGTTCCATGTTCGTTCAAAATTCACATATGTTCTTCTAAATCCCCAAAACTTTGAAATTGAGCAGGATTCGATGGGTAGAGTAGTCCTTGACATTCCAAAGGGACCTAGGTCTTATAATTTTTCAAATTGAGTCAACAGATTAATAGATATACTCGTGTTGATGATTATGTATATAAAGCCCCTAAATCCAAATAAGAGCTTCCTGGGTCTAATCCTCGCGATATTGTTATGTATAAAGATTGTATGGATGGGGGTTTGAGATTTTTTTCTCCTTCCTTTCTTTTTATTTGACTGCTTAGTGGTCGACTAAGCGTTGATCGCTACGCGATCAATATGCCATACCTTGATCTCATTGACGATCGACTGTCATTGATGAGTCGTCCAATGTGTGGTCAACTATTTAGTGATTGCATAACAATCGAAGGCATTAGCTTTGTCCGTCATTGTCATTGCTTGCTAATCAATAGTTTGCGTAACTTCAAGTTTGTTTAGTTTGCTATTTCAATTGGCGAATCTTGAGCTTTTAGCCAATTTTTTGGTTTTCTTGTTCACCACCAAGTCCCCAAGTCCTTTGGACGATTTTGATGTATTGAGGGTGTGATCTAATGATTTTAAGTCTTAACGATTTTTTGGTTTTGTAAGACCACCACTAAGACCGTAGAACGATTTTCAACATATAACCATTTTTTTTTTTTTGTTTTCTTCCTCACCATCTGGCCCACTGGGCGATTTTGATGTGCTGAGCACAGTTCTAGTGATTTTGAGCCTTAACCAATTTTTTGATTTTGAAATCTCATCACTATTATCATAGAGCGATTTTGAGTTTATAACCCATTTTTTTTTATTTTCTTGCTCACCGTCTAACCTCCCAAGGGCAAGTTTTTATGCATTACTCACCCATCCACCATTAGAAACACCACTTCACATCCGACTTGCATGTGTTAAGCATGCCTCCTAGGACGATTTACTGTATAGAACGCGTGGTTTAGTGATTTTGAGCTTTAACCAAGTTTTTGATTTTGAAAACTCACAACTAGGACCATAGATCGATTTTTAGCTTATAACCAATTTTTTGGTTTTCTTACTCACTGCCTATCCCCCCTTGGGCGATTTTGATGTGTTGAGATTTTCATCGTGTCCAGTTGTTAACGTTCACTCACTAGGCAGTTTTCAACTATGAACTTAGGGTCAACTTTCTCCTACTGAGTGGTTAAAAAGATCAATGATAATTTTCAGGCAATTTTCAATAGATGAAAAGGACGTATGGGGTGGTTGGGAATCATGGTGTCGGTCGAGCTTACTAGTGGTCAGTCGATCATCATGGCAATCGATTGATTATATTGATAGTCGATCGACCATAGGGTTGTGGTCAACTATTGTGGTAGTTGGTAGGTCATCTTTGCTTGCTAGACCATCGTGTCCACCACTTATACCATCTACCATTCATCGTGGTAGTCTGTAGGTTGTCTATGCTTGCTAGGCCATCGTGTCCACCACTTATACCACCTAGCATCATAAGTTTAGCCATGTCAACACACCCCATTTTCTACATAAGCCTAAGTTATTTGACATTCACCACAATGGCCTTTTGATGATTAAAAGACAAAAATACCCTTAAGTATGTTATAAAATTACAAAAATATGATTTTGTTTAAAAGACAATAATAGCCTTTAAGTAACAAAGTAAAATCTAATAAATTTCAATTATTTCCCATTTAAAATTTCAAAATCAAGTCACTTGCTTAATCTGTTTACTCCAATACAGATAAAAAATATTTCATTTTTCATCTGCTTCAACATTAAAATCTAATAAATTTATCAAACGCTCAACAATAAAATATTATTTACATCCATCACTTAGAATCAATAAGTATATTTACATATACTTAATTTTGTTTTCGTTAAATCTTATTTTTCGACATAGGCAGATAATTTTTTATATTTCTTAAATATATCTATAATTGTTTTAAGCAAAGACGAGAAAAAATTCATGTGCATGTATATTCTTTCAAATGGATTCATGGCCGTCATTAAAAAGGCCGACCTAGCTGTCTGGGCACAAAGAATAGCTGATCCAATAATCTGGGCCAACTGTTAGCATATGGCTCGGCCCAGACAGACGGCCCATCCGCTGGGTCGACTATTAACAGCATGCCCAGACCTTTTTATTTACCTTTAATATCTATTTTTTCAAAAAATTCTATTTCGTAATGCAAATATGAGCAGTCCCATTTTTTACTTTGATGAATTTGAAATGAATGAAAATTATGAAATGTGCCTGATTTATAGAACAAGCTCAACGTCGATCCTTCTCGATATGATATGGAATTGAGATTTCAATTCAACGAGCACACACCCATTTCAATTCCACTGGTAAAGGTTACTTCTGAAGCTTAAATGAAGGTCCTAATTGAATTGAACCAAAATTGAACAACTCCTATTTGCGTAACTTTAGCGAGGAAGAAAGTCCCACTTTAGTGAGGATGAGGAGAATTTGTCTCGTCGTCGCGTTGAGATGGTAACCCAGCCTACGAAATTTCAAATGTTGAAATCTTGCGCAAGAGATAATGAAATAAAGAACATTATCAAAAAATTAAACCAACCGAATTGTATACTACTACACAATAATTAATAGATACTGGAATAAATGAAATGAAAGTAAATAAAAATTAAACAAAAAGAATTAACAAACAGAAAAAATGTAATTTAAAAAAACAAGGGCAAAAATTTATGATTTTCAAAATTGCAAAGACAATTATTAAACAGTAATTACAATTATAAAACATAGAAATGAAATTAAAATACATAGATAAAATTAAATTAAAAAGGGAAAGTATAAAAAATCAACAAAATTAAAATTCTAGAAAAAAATAAAATTCAAAAGACATTTATTAAACTATATTTAATATTATAAAAAAATTATACCATTAAAAAAAAGAAATAAAAAGACGAATAATTAAAAATTATACATTTTTAATCAGAAAAAAAGAACAAAAATAAAGTAATAAATTAAAAAATGATTTAAAGAAGAAAATTAAATAAATAAAAAAAGAAATCATAAAAAAGCAAAAAAAAAAAAAATTCAAGAAAAAAAAAGTGACTGGGCTTGCACAGCCGTCTATTTCGCGCAGACGACTCTGCAAATGGCGGAGATCGCCATTTTCGATGATTCCCGTCCTAAAAATCACAAATCTAATTAAATATTAAGCCTAACACACAATAACTATAAGGCCATGTTTGATTGCACTTCAATTCCATGGAAAATAGAAATTAAATTTCATTTTTCACATTTTTGCATGTTTGATTGCCCAAATTTTTCATAGAATTGGTTTTTCATCTTTTACCCACATGCTCGCATTTTCTTGATTTTTGAGGATAAGCTTTTCCCACCACTTTGGTGGGAAAAACCATTTTAGACAATTTTTTTATTTTTTTGAGCAATGGAAACAAATTATATTCCCAATTGTAACAAATTATATTTTTTTAATGGACAATTTTCATGAAAAACAAAATCAAACGAACAATAAAAGATCCAAAATTTCAATATTTTCTAGGTGAAAAATTATACCAATCAAACACAATTAATTGACAATTCACAGTAAAACAAGTTCTAGACAATTCAATTTCCTGAAATTTTTTTCTTTCCACCCAAATTTTATTCTTGCAATCAAACGAACAATAAGAAAATAACTCAATGGAGAACATGGATACAAAAATACTTGATTTATTCAATTGATAAATTAACTAAAAAGTGGAACAAAGCTAACCTTGTTTAAAAAATGGCGATTTTCAGCAAAGATCAACGTCGATTCGGGTCTGGATCGTTGGCGTGGGTAGGTAAATCTTCAAAATCACCATGCCTTTTTTTTCCCCCCTTCAGTTTTTCCTCTCTTCTGTGTCCATATCAGGGTCAAGTTTTAAACATTTTTTACCTTTTTTTTTCAATTACATGGTTAAAGGCCATTGTGGGTAGATGGCCAGTCCACTAATAGTCGACTACCGTGGTAGTCGACATGTCATCTCCGTTTTATTGACCATCGTGTCCACTACTTATACCGTCTAGCATTCATTGTGGTAGTTGGTAGGTCGTCTCCTCTTGCTAGGTCATCGTGTCCATCGCTTATACCACCTAGCATCATTTCTCTTTTAAAATTGGCGTGTGAGGGTGCTTGGCGATTTAAATAGGGATTTGGTCGATTCCTATATTGATGTAACTATAATAAAAATTAGGATTAAATTGCTAAAGAGATTTGAGACCAACTTGCCATTAGTATAGTAGGTTGAGGACTAATGCAAATTTTCTATTTCTAACTATAATAAAAAGCCAGCTTTGGGTTACTGTAGATGCAATAGTAACTCAATGAGATGTTACTGTTCATTCTCCCATTTTCACTCATGCAGTCCTCCAATTTTATAATTTCTTACCTCATATCTATTTCCATTTTTTTTTCTTTAATCTGTAAAGAAAAAACGACTAATTTTATTTGTTTTTTGAAGAATTAAATTCTATCTTAATTGCAGACATCTTAATTGTGTTCTCTAAAAAAAAAAAAAATTCTCCACAACGCGGAGACACGGTGTCCTCACATTGCGGACACGGATGGACACCGTGTCCATGCACGCGGACATGGTGTCTCCGCGCTGCAGAGAATTTTTTTTTTTTTTTTTTTGCTTATCATTTCTCCCCAAGTTGTGTTCATTCCTACAGAAGTAATAAGCATTCTAGCATATCCATCAGTTACCTTTGTGCCAGAGAACAGGAAGGGGTTTCTATCTTGATCGATTTCAACATGATCACTTTCACCTTTCATGCTAGATTCATCCACTTGCAATGAGTGCCCATCTAGAAATAATCCGTATGCAAGTACTTCATCGCCGATCTTCAGACAAACTATGTCTCCAACAACAATGTCAAATATTGATATTTTTTGCCTCCTTCCATTTCTTACAACTTCAATCAGGATATTATCGCTCACCTTCAAAAGCTCGTCGAATTGCCTGCTTTGCCTGAAGTTGCTGATAGCTGAGATAGAAATAACAAGAAATACAGCAACAAATATGCTTCCACCATCATACCAACCTTCTTTTGGACCATTCTCTTTGATCTCGAATCCAAGAGAAAGCGTAGCGCAAGCCAATAGAATTAGGATTGTCAGATCCTGTTGGGAATTTACTTAATCA